TACATTGGGGTTATATTATAGGGATAATGGAGAAGAAAATGGAAACTACTACAACATGTCTGGATTGTGTAGGGATTCTGACAGTTCTCAGGGGTCGGTTCTGGGAAACATCCTTAGGGTTTGGGGTTTACGGACTTCCTAAGTGTTGAGGGTCCTCTCTACTCCCCTCGCTAGAGCTATCCAGGTAGATGATGGATGCATGCATGCATGCATGCATGAATGCATGAATGAACGAATGAATAAATGAATGAATGAAGAACTGGTGTCTTGGGGCAAGTACAGGATGATTGCGGTGCTTGCTTAGGGGTGACACTACGAATATGTTCTCTTATTCCCTACATCACCGTCAAATTACCCCTACATAGTCCCTACGTAACCCTATATCACCTCTACATTCCCTCATTCCCTACTAACCTTCTAGTACGGTTGGGCTTTATGACAGAAAATGTGTCGTACTTTGCTTACTGTGGGTCCGTGGGTTCGTAGGGAATTAAGGGAACATAGGGGTATAATTTAGTGATATATAAGGACAATGGAAGAGAGTATGGAAACCACTATCCAGGGTTCAGGGTGTAGGGAAGATATTATATAGGGATGAGATTCCCTTATTCCCTACTCACCACCACTTAGTCTATGTAGGGGGGGGAGAAGTGAGCATGAAGGACAGAATCCCACGAGGAATCCCTGCAATGGCTCCAAGCTCATACCGAAAGCACAGTTCAGGGATGGCCTTCAGAAGCCGTTTTGTGTAAGTGATTCTTAGGGTGGGCGGTGCTGGCATGACAAGGATGACGTGAGCTATAGTCTAAACTCCTAGGCTGCCCTTAGGGTGATCAAGCCTGACATTGGGTGCATGTCTCGCTTTGCAGTCACCCACCAAAACGATCCTTCACAAAACACCACTTCCTGCCAAGAGGCTGCAGAGGCATGGTAGTAAACCCATGTGAGTCGCGTGTAATTTTGGTGGCTAACCCTACTAAGCTTACTTTCTGCTTAGATGCTACAATAAACCTTCCTCTACATTAGGGATTGCGACGACTGTAGTATCCCCATGCATCCCCCTTGAAATTCTACTCATGTGCCACGAGGCAGTAGCAGATCTGCTTCTTGAATGGCTCTAGTCCTTGTTCCTCATCAAGAACTAATGACAGCCCACCTGAAGTCGCCAGACCCACAGCTATGTCTTCCAGACATAGGTCTCTTCATTCTATCTGCTCAAAGAAGACTACGCAACCATCCGAGACCTGAATCGCCAAAAATCTGAATTTTGACGCCAAGAGGGCCCAAAAAACTCAACTTTGACGCCACTTTCGAGGATTCTGCTCCCAAACTCTTTGAGGCAGGGGACATTGCACGCAGCGCTCCAGATCCTGCAGCACAAGCGTCAGGATATTTACCCACTAGCCTTCCGCAAGTGAAATATTGAAAAAAAAAAGAAAAAACTCAAAAGCAGCTTACAGCTGGATTCAGCGGGCAATTCCAATGCTAGTCATGCATCAAGATATACATACCACAGCTGATGAAGAGATGCTGCGGGTGCCTTTGAGGAATGTACCGGGCAAAGATTCAAAAACCCTCACATGGAGAATGGAGATTTGCCAGGGACGAGCAAAGATTGTCCGCTGGTGATGCCGTAGTGCAAGGACTTTACTCATGGCAAGGGGAAGTTGCCCTCCATGACTAGTGAAGCTTGAACCCCTCAGCTGGAGGCTCTACTCCCAGATTTCGCAACTCAGGATTTCAATCTTGAGGATCTGAAAATGAACCCATCAGACAAGACAGAGCTCCCCATGACAACCCTCAAGCCATGAACCATAAACCCTGAACCCTAGCCTCAAACTGGGTTCCTGTTAAGAAGGTTCAGCTATGTTACTATATTGGGGAAACCCTATGATTTGCTGTATACCCATACTTTAATAGCCTAATATGAA